ATTATCATTTTAATAATGTTTCTTTTTCCCTTGATAAGTCTTGGTTTATCTCTAAAAATGTTTAATGTCAGTGCCAAGATACATGCCTTAGATATTAAAGCATATCATAAATATATTCAAATCCAGATGGAAGAATTTAAAGATGAAAGAAGCTCAGCATTGCATTATAAGTTTAGATAGGAACAGCCTAAAGTTTTCAAACCTACCTTAATATATCCACTAATCTTACAGGAATTACTATATAATAGAGGCTCTCTCTATAAGAGCTAATTGTACTCCTGTGCCAATGTTAGATTTAGAGAAGTTCAAGGAATCTATAGTCTCATATGGCATGCAATTACCATTTGTGAAGCAGTTGTTAAAGATGTGGTCACTTTGAAATAGAATTATCCCTACATATTGTGTAAATGTGGTTAAATCTGTTCTAGAGCATGTTCCACAATTACAATTGACAACCTGGTTCAGAGACTAGGCTGAGTATAGAACGATGGGCTAAAGCTAGAGGCATGGAAATCTCACAAGATCAACTTTTTGTAGAAAGAGATTATGCATTTATAGAAAGGTAAGGTCTATATAACTGTCTGACTCTTGAATTTAAGCCATGCTGCAGCTTTGAATGCTTGGGAAACAGTTGGAGAAATAGTAAAGAAAAATGAATCATTTACAAAAGTTACACAGAGCCCAAAGAAAGCCTTCATGAATTTCTTACAAAGGCTGATTTCAACAGTAAATAGAATTGTTCCAGATTCAGAAGCTAGACAAATAATAATTGAATCTCTGCATTTGGAAAATTAAAATTCTCAATGGAAAAGGATAATTAGGCCTTTAAAGGCAAGGTCAGCACCTTTGAAGTAATGGATCTGAGATACAATTAATATTGAAGCTCATGACCATGATGGTGCATTGATAGGAAAGGTAATTTCGAAATGTTTGAAAAAATCAAAATGGTAAATGTTTTAATTGTGGCAGACAAGGTCACCTTAAAAGAGAATGCAATCAGGGCATTCTGAGAAACAATGCTTTTTATAAAAATAATCAGAATGACTAAAATAAAAAAAAACAATGACAGCTTATGCTGGAGAGGATGTGGAGAAAGAGGAACACTCCTTCGTTGCTGACAGGAATGCAAATATATACAGCCACTGTGGAAACAGGCATGGTGGTTTCTCGGGAAAATGAAAATTGATCCATCTCAAGCCCCAGAAATTCCACTCTTAAACATATACCCAAAGGATGTGCATCCTTCATACTGCAAGCATATCTGTTCAACTGTGTTCATAACAGCATTATTTGTGATAACCAGAACCTGGAAACAACCTAGATGCCCTTTAACAAAAGAATGGATAGAGAAAATGGAGTGCACAATGGAGTAGTACTCAGCAGTAAAAAGCAATGACATATTGAAATTTGCAAGCAAATGGATGGAAGTAGAAGAAACCATCCTGAGTGAGGTAATCCAGACACAGAAAGACAAACATGGTATGTACTCAATCAAAAGTGGATATTAGATCAGATTATAACTAGTCTACAATTCACAACCCTACAGAAGTTAGGAACAAGGAGGACCCTAAGAGAGACATACATGGGCACCCTGAGAAGGGAAAAGGGACAAGAACTTCTGAGTAAATTAGGAGCATGGGGGGAAGGAGGGAGGAAGAAAGAGAAATGGAGAAGAGCAGGAGGAATAAGAACATGAGGGAATAGCTGCTGCAGGAGCAATTAACTGCTCAGCATCTTGAGGAATCAATCAGCCCTTGAAATCACCCTGTATTTGTTATTAAAAAAGAAATCAGGAAAATGGAGAATGGTAACAGATCTAAGAGCTGGTTTTGGATTTATTGTTGGTGGTGTCATTGCGTGTGGATTTCACCCTCCTGTTTCTTTTTGTGTTTGGTAAAATTAGATTATCTATTGCCTGTGTTTTTGTGAGTGTAGTTATGTTTGTTGGGTTGGAGTTTTCCTTCCAGGACCTTCTGTAGTGCTGGATTTGTGGATATGCATTGCTTAAATCTGTTATGTCATGGAATATCTTGTTTTCTCCATCTATAGTGATTGAAAGTTTTGCTGGGTACAGTAGTCTGGGTTGACATCCATGCTCCCTTAGTGCTTGTAGGGTATCTATCCAAGACCT